CCCCAAAACCCCAAAACCCCAAAACCCCAGGATAGTGAATTCAGATTGAATAATAAATGGCTATTCTGTAGAAGGGATTTCTTGTCCGATGTGTAGAGCGATGTGGTTAAGACCAGTGTTGCATATTAGGGAGGTTACATCATTTTCTGGGGCATAAGGCCCGTCAATGAAGTACAGGTGCTCGAGAGAGTCCTTGAGACTTGAGTTTCTTATTTCCAAGATCATGGTTTCGTACTGTGCTAAAAGATGTCCATGACCTTCAAGGAAATGATCCTCACAAATCACGCTCAACTTTAAAGTTTTAATCTTGTATTCTCCTTTTTCTATAAGATAGTTATAACTCAACTTTACCTAGCTCAAATTTTGAGTCTATGCCCTCTTCGCTTTGATAATAATCGATCCACCTTACTAAATAAAAGTTGATAAACATATTCTTCAAAACAGACTGCTTTTGGTAATGTATAAAATAGAATTTCCCGTCAATTTCCTCTTAAAACATACTAATAGGTAAACTTACAGTTTAAAAGTGAGAGAGTCTGCACTTGGCTAGCCTTCCCAATCACATTTGAGAGTTCTTTACTTGTGAGCATGAAGCTTTTAAATGAGAGTTCTTTAGTCACGTTTGGGATTATCTTGAGCAGTCTGTTGATTCCAATAGAGGCTTCCACAAAGTTGGATAAAGAACCACTCAGATTAAGACAAGGTATGCTTTGCTTGATGCAATTTTCTAAGAAATCACTTATTTGATCAAATTGGCACTCACAATTTTGTATACTGAGAGAATTGATTTTAGGAAAAACATAAAAGCTCACAATAGCTAGTTGGATAAACTCATGAGCATTATCTTGCTTCATGTCTAGTTTCAAATCAAAAGAAGAGTCAAACTTTACTCCTTCTCCAAAGAATCAACCATAAATCTGCTCATAATGAAAGGCAGCCATTTTATTGAATGAGCTAAGACTTCTCATATCTGTCTCTATAAGATTAGCTATAAGTAACCCCCCAAAGCTAAAAGTTTACCATTATAAGACATCTGCTTCTCTGACTTAATCTGTTTAAATTTCTAATTCTTTCTCATCATTATTGTGGTTGATTGCTTCCGCAACTGAGTTGGAAAGCTCTAAACGCTCCCTAAACAATAGAATTAAGCATAAATTAAGGTTATCGTTACCAAAGTTGCTTATTTTCCTCTTCAAGGTATGACATTCTCTCTTCATTCCAGTTAAGTGTAGACTGTAGATTAATAATTGTATCTTCATATTTCTCTTCCATTTCCTTCTCTACTTTTGCTTTTACCTAGATGGAGTACGGATTAAATCAATTCATCGAGAAGGAGCTAAATACTTGGGAAATTAATAAAAGTTTATGGAAAAATTGGAAATATAGACTAAAGCATGTCGAGAGCTCTTGGGTGCAGCTCATAGATTTTGAACGTACCTTCTTTCCAAATTCTGTTGTAATTTTTCTTACGAGATTTCGATTAGGTTGGCTAGAAAATAATCCTAAAATTTTATGTTTAGAGTACGTGTCGAGGAATAAGGGACATTTGCATCTCTATTAAAGCGAAGAAGTGAATTTGACTCTGTATAATATTTATACAACAATCTTAGAATTGGGCTGCAGTCTTGTTTCTCTCTAAATGAAGTTATTATTAACTATTTTTAAAACTTACCCTCCGAATCTGCCTTCAAAAATTCCATTCTCAAGTCTACCAAAAGATTGTTAAATTAATGGATTTCTCAATGAGACCTCGTTCAGTCTCATTTACACTCTAGGTATCAAGCTTACCTGACTCCTTCCTTCACAAGTTCATCGAATTCCTCATTTCTTTCTTCATCAATGACTTCTTTGGCCCTCTGACTGTATTCGTTACATTCTCTAAACATGATGCATTCTGATACAGTTTAAAGATTATCTAAAGCTTCTTGAAGCCCTTCAATGGTAGAAGAATGCTCATATTCTTCATAAGCACTACTCAGGGATGAATAGACACTTCTCAATCTGTCTAATTGTGACCTAATTCCTTTAGAGTCTGTCGGAATCCTCTTCAGATCTCATTCTTGATGAAATTGTATACTACAGAGCTGGCAGATCTTGGTTCTTCATTCATGTCAATAGAAGCCAAAATTACTAAAAAGACAAAATCTCTAGCATACTTTGTACATTCTTGACGGTTGCATTTGGTCCTAGAACTAGGCCATTAATCGAAAGAATCTACGTCAAAACAGCAAGGTATTTGTATCCTTGTCGGCGAATTTCCAAACTAATGTAAGTCCCTCATATACAAAGTTGCCTCTTTCATAACCGGAAGAAAATGTTAAGAATAGGCAGCATCAAGTAGAGCTTACACTTTTCGTGAAGATTGCCCCTCCATTTATTTAATAATTGCTACACTATATCTCAATGTTAAATATCCACCACGGGGTTTTGGGGTTTTGGGGTTTTGGGG